GGGGGGCTTTGCCTGTGCCTGTTGCAAGACTGAGCAGTGAGGAAATGCATCCATGCTGCCACTGCTTCTCCCTGCCTCCCCACCCTCTCCAAGGCTGCAACATGGGTGCAGCTTCCAGCAGGTGGAAAACTGTACCAGGGCTGGGCAGAGGGGGATGGGGGGAAGAAGGGGAGGACAGGAAAAAATGGTAGCATGGGCACAGCTTCCAGCTGCCTGGCCCCAGTGCAGCTCCCCACCTGCTGGAAGCTACACTTGCACCCCAGCTCAACAGCGGATGGAGCTAGGAGATGCAGCAGTGGTGTGGGCACAGATCTCCATTGTCTCACCCTGTTGCAGGTATAGGAAAAGCACTCCTCCCCACCTGATGCTGATGTGCCATGGACGTCACCTGCCCCATTTTAGACTGAAGCCAGGCTGTTCCGGTCTTCAGCTTGAAAAGGTTGCTAGCTGCTGATCTATAAGAACAGACCAGGAAAGCAAGTAGATCGTGATGCTATACCTATTTAAAAATGGGGAAACCAAGTCAGGAGAGGCTAAATGACTTGTCCACAGCCATTCATCAAATCAACAGCAGTCTGGATTAGAGCTCAGATGTTGCTAGCTCCTGTCTCTCTGCTCAGCTAGACTGCTGACAGGGAATGCTACTAAAATGTACTGACAGGATGCATTTTTTCTTCATCTTAGGAGTTTTGTTTGCTCTCTGTAATGCAGGACAACCATTGTATTTATGCAGACAGTGCACAACATTTCAGTCCAAGTCTCCAGGATTCTTTGATGCTTCAAGTTTAAGGATGGAGCTGAAGAAACTTGTTCTCACTGTCAGATAATATTCACTTAAGGCAGGGGTGGGAAAACTGCAGCCCACAGGCCGGATGCAGCCCACCAGTCCATTCTATCCAGCCCGTGGGGCCCCTAAAAAATTTAGAAAATTAATATTTATCTGCCCCTGGCTGCTCATCATGCAGCCCTTGATGCCTTGCCAAAACTCAGTGAGCGGCCCTCTGCCCAAAATAATTGCCCGCCACTGACTTAAGGAGACATGTACTTAGGCCTTGATTCTCTGCTGTGTCCAAGCTGCATATTGTACCTTTAGTAGACCTAATAATCAAGCCATTGTAATAACATAGGGTAAGGACAAGATCTTGCAGCAATATCCCTGACCCCTATCAACTTTAGTGGCACTCTCTACAGGTATAGATACTAATGCATGTGAAGTTAATTGCAGGATTGGACCCAACTAAAACTGGTCTAGTTTTATTTGCTTATTATCCAGCTATTGGAGTGTACTGCTCATTAAGCACAGACGCAAAGCATCCACATGGATTCCTTTTGCAACTGAAATGTGTTTTCCAGACAGAAAAAGAATGCGATTATAAGCCAACTGCAGTGAATTTAAAACATGTAAAAGAAAGAAACATCATAAGGCAAAGGTTTTTTTAATAATTAGAGAAAGATTTTCTGCCTTATTTTTAAATACTGTGGGCGTGTCCACATGTAGCCCTACAGCGATGTGGCAACATGCTATGTCGACGTACAGCCAATGTAGTGATCACATGGCTCTACATGTGATTGGCAGCTATGTTGCCATAGCGGCACACTCCCCCATTGTAGCATGCCACTACAGCAACATAGCAGTGCAATCTAACCATGCGTAACACAACGCAGTAGGGGAAGTTACCATGCCATGATTTAGTATTTACAAAAGGAAGTACTAATGCACAGCACTGTAGCAATGTTGCCATACGGCAATGTGTAAACACACCCTATGTATCATTTATTTTTATAACAAAATCATGTATATAGTGTGCATAACCACTGTACATATGAACACAATATATGATAAATATATTACATACATCACAGGTACTAATTTCTCTCGGTTTTCTTCAGAACCACAAAGTACACACTTTGATCCCTCCATGCTTCAGACGATGCTATCCTGAATCCTGAGTGCCAGTTAGAGTGGCCTCTAGGCTGCTCTAAATTAAACCTTGCTGTTCATGCCCTCAAGGAACATTTTAACAGCAGGGATTTAGCAGTTCAGGAGAGTCCCAACAAACTTCCCCCTCACCAGCAGCTAACAGGAGTCTAAATGATAACAGTGCTGTTATAGCAATGATGGTCCAGGAAATATATGAGGCAAAGGATTTTTTTTCTGATAAATTTATTGGATTAGCTGCACAGTTGGGAGAAATGCTGGACAAGTTTTCAACATACAGTGCCCTTCAGGTCTGGAAAATGGAGAGAAATGGAGTCAGCAATCATAAAAACAAGATCCTTCTTACAGTGTTTTCCAAATGTAGCGAGGCTTGGATGAAAGCAAATTCTAGGGGCGAGGACTTTCCACTGTCCAGACTTTCCACTGTCCGAAGAGCTGCTGAGCTGGCTAAGGGTGAGTGAACTGCTGCATGCAGTCTGTAGTCTCTCAAAGAGGTTTGTGGTGTGGAAGCAGCGCTTCATTATATACAGCAGTGGAGGCCATCCTTATGGTAGACGTACCACAAATTAGTCTGGTCCCTCCCCCAGTGCTTCCACACACACCCCCTCCAGTCGGCTCCCCCAGCCTAATCACTGCTTTGCTTTCTGTTCCCTGCCCAGACCTCCTTGCCTGATCTACTGCTCTTCTTTCTCTTCTACCATCCTATCTGCCATTGTACTGCTTATTCCTTCCCAGATCTGCCATGTGCTACACACACGCAGGCTGCCTGTGCCATGTGTGGCATATGTGCCCCAGGTTGGCCACTCCTGATTTACAGGAACGTATATTAAGAACTATTTACAGTAAAGAAGTAACAGTCTTTCTATTGCCCTCACAAGGGTCTAGGGCCCTTGTTGCTGTCTTTCCATGCCAGGAAGTTCCTCCTGCCTCAGCCAGACTGTGTGTTTCCAGGAGAACTACATTCTGCTTTCCAAAAACAAGGCATGCGTTTTATTTGGGGACTTGTGGTATGCAGGAAAATATGGTATTTGTAGTCTCCTTTGGACTGATTCCACAAACAGACTTAGTGGTTAAGCATCTACCTCAGGCACCTAAATCCAACTGAGATTCTCAAAACTCTTGGTTCAAGATGCTATCTGACCCCATAGCTCACTAAAGTCCCTTAAATACTAAGTTTTTGATGCACAGAGCCACCTAAAATAGAAAGCATGAAGCAATCTTTGCATGATTTGCATGAAGCAATCTTCAGAACATGGTAGGATTCTGAAATAAGGCATGTTTTTGGTTTTGTCGTGCAATAAAGAAGCCACCCTGAGAACATGGATCAGGCCCCACACAAAAGATAGTCGGGGATGAAATTTTTTGGAGCAGGCTGGCTGGTTCATGCATGCGAGTATAGCTAGGGATCTACCTAAATCATGGTTTTACAAATTTTGCCGAACCTCAAAAAACACTGCTCTCTGAGATCACCAGGAAATCCAGCATTGGCTGCAATTTCCCTGTGAAATAAACCCAAAAAAGAAAGAAACAAACAAAGAAAAAGCAGTAGTGATACAGACTGAGTGAGGGTGCCCTCCGCCAATCAGTGGCGAGGGGCAGGGCCGCCCCAGAATGCTCACAAAATTGACTCTGTGTGTTATAAGCAAGCCGTGAAAAGCCCTCTGTCTCATCATGACTTAGACATGTCCCTAAGTATAGCCAGTAATTAAGAGGTTAGGGCTCTAACCTAGCAGGTGAGAGACCTATTTCCCAATCTTTGCTCGGCCTGATTTCAAGCAGCGGCTTGAACCTAAGTCTTCCATGTGCCATGCAAGTGCCCTAAACATACTATGTGGGGCATTTGGTCTTTCCTGCAGAAGCTGTTCCACTTTATATAAATAAATATTAATTGGAGTGTGTACTTACAACCTGACTCTCCCACCTCCCACCCTAGCTACTAGGCTGTTGGATATAACAGGATGGAGAGTTATCCTGCTCTTTTGCATGAAGAAAGAGTCCCATCCAATAATGGTAATTGGGTGTATAACTCTAGACTAGAGAGAGATGCCTATCTAAGTCACTCCAGGAGAATCTCCAGTAGAGATCTAGAGAGTCTAGAGTTATACACCCAATTACCATTATTGGATGGGACTCAGGCGTTCCCTTTTGGCTCTCTCAGTCAGCTCCCCTTCAGGTTTCTAACTTCTGAGGATCCCATTCTTAGATATTTAATTCTCTCCATGGATTGGACAGGGAGCTGGTACCTAATGCAACCTGCGTGTTCCACTGGGCTATTGGGTGTCCAGGAATTGATGTTGCAAAGCTAAATCTGGCAAAGCAAAAGGCCCTTTCTGAATTTAACCCTTTGTGATTAGTTCTAGGTTCTACATTGCATTAGTGGACCTAAGAAAGAAAAATGGAAATATATGTATAAAGAAAGCAGAAGAGACAGCCTTATGGGCAAAAAAAAAAAAAAGGATATAAAACACATATCTAGTCTCTGCTGCTATGTGGAACTCACACAGGAGCAGCAGTACATCCAGTAAGGAAATAGGTTTTAACCTGTTCATTTCTAAATTAAATAATCACTTTTCCCAACACTTTTATAGCAAAAACCCTCCACTGCCTGCAACACATAGGACATGGTCTACTCCTTCTGTGGACATAACTCACATAACTCCCTGCAGGGCAAAGTTCTTGATTCCTAATATGTTTTGTGACCTGACTATCTGAGAGAGACTTCCTTTCCCCAGACCACAGGACAAAAGATTCAATTTATGATTATTTTTAATTTGAAACTGTCCACTGAGGCAGAAAAGGCCTGAGTGACCTCTTCTTGTATAAATCCAAACAAGCAAAATGAGGAATGCCTTACCCATGTTGAAAAGTAATACATTGTTTACCTTAATAGGCCTGTTCTTGGAGTAAGATGATTTCCTGGTAGGTAGGAATCCTGGAGTCTGGTCAGTAATAAATACTTTATATTAGAAGCAAATTTTAAAACAGCAACTGCTACACAAACATTTATGTTTGTATGATGTTACGACTGCCAACGAGTGAGCCATATTTCTGTTTCCCTCAGGTATAATCCTTGGATTTTGCCTCCGACCATACAACATGAGTTACCGGGAAGTCAAATACTTTGCCTTTCCAGGAGAACTATTGATGAGAATGCTGCAAATGCTGGTCCTTCCCCTTATCGTATCCAGTTTAGTTACAGGTAAATCAACTTATTTTAAAGTTTTTCTTCTCATCATTTAAAACATAAATGCCAAGTCATACAATATCTATGCACTTTACAATGTAGAAAAACATGGCATTCTGAAACCACGCAACAAAACGGTACTAATCTTCAATGTGAACTTTGCTAATATTACTGTTTTACAAATAGTATTACAAAAACAATATAAACTGTTATAAAGTTGTGTTTGTACCCCACATCTTTGCCTTTATGCCTCACACTGATATCATCTGCCACAATAGCAAAAGTTAGAAATCTCAATAGAATAGTATACATTCATCCCTGTTCCAAGACCCGCTGGAGAGAGAAGCTACTGAGCCTAGACAAAGACCTGTCACAGACCTCTCTATCTCTTGTCTTTTCAGTGGACAGTTGGAGGCCACAGAAAGTGTGTATCATTTGGGCAAAAAGAGTCCAGCCTCCATCCTATTACTTGTGGAGCCTTTTCTTCCCAGTTGGCAGCTCTGTTAAGTCTTAGGCCTTTTTATCAACCTGTTCCTGGTATTAATCAGGCTGGTTCTATCATATCCCTTCTTTCTCTAGTAACTTTCTAGTAGGTTTTCAGATTTCTTGATAAAATTAAAGGCTTACAGCATATTGGTAGGGTAGGAAGATCTCACTCAGCCTATCTAAAAATTAATTTCCCTCAGTTACACCACAACTGCCCTGACTCAGCCCTATGACATAAACCATTGGTGCTCAATCATTTGGCCCAAACCAGATGGATGGCACAGGCCACATTGGATCCTGCACACCAGGATAAGGCCCGTATGTCTGGATCAGGCTGTTCATGCCCTCAGTTGGCCAGTGGGTGTCGGGATCACCACTGCCCAGCCCCACATCCTAGGATTTGAGACCTGTTTCATCTTTGCCTAGCTGCTCATGCTGGAATCAGGGCCCTGTACCACCTCTGCCTGGCTCCACATGCTAGGATTGGGGCCTTGGGGCCCTGTACTGCCCCCCATTCAGCCCTGGGTGCCAGGATTAGGCCACATGCCACCCTTTGCATCCAATCTAGCCTGCAGGGCCGCAGCCTGCAAGGCTCCCAATGGACCCATGAGGAGGCCAGTGACTCAGATGCCAGGGTACCAGGAGCCAGATCTGGCCCACAGGCCAGGAGTTGAACACCCCTAATGTATCTTTATTGCTACAAAAGCCAAAATATTCAGCTGCCCTCTTTCCCACTGTTTCTCCAGTTTTCACTGTTTAGATTCACTTTTATCGCAACAAAGCAGCACAGGTCCCCACCTTACCAGGTGTTAGAGACTACATCCTGCAGACTGTATATTCGCAGTGAATGAAATACAAGATTCCAAAAGCATGGGCAGCTACAATACTATTTCCTTTGACTTACTTCAGTGAGGCATATGAGTTTGTTTCTATGTGCATAGCTTAAGCTAGATACAGACTGAAACTAGACACTGACCTATGAATCACTGGAGGCAAGTGGGAATACTGCTCCAGGCTGTTCTTGCTTAGATACCTTTTTCCTGCTCCTCCACAAACTGTCCTCTGCTAGTGTGTTTCTCAACCTCTGACCTCACATCTGATCCCTCCTTTTCTCTTTCCCTGCCCCAGAGGCTCCAAGCTGGCTGGGCACAGCTGGGGAAGGTATTTCTAAATGCAGAAAATAAAAAGAGTTTCCTTGCCTTCAGTGCCCAGCTGCCTGGAGGACTTGATGAATCTCTGCAGGAGAAAGTCCCTCTCAAACCTTATATTTCTACTGAGTGTATGAGGGGGAGAAGGAGAGAGAAGCTGGGGCTAGAACAGTAAAACAAGAAATTTGGAAGAAAATCCCAGGCAGTGATATAAACTTTCTTGCATTCAAATGTATGAACAGAGAAGTAAGATAAGATATTCAGCACTCGCCACAGACCAAGACAGGCTCCACAGCCTGAGCAGGAGTTTTTGTGGAAACAGAAATCATAACTGGAGTTCTCAGCTCTGAGCCTCCTTAAAGAACTTCATCTCACCAACTCGCTGTTTTTGTTGACTTTTTACTTCCAAGCTCTGCTAGCCTCTATAATCCTGTTTAGTCCCCTGTTTTTCAGGAACAACATTAATACCACCATATTTGAAAGAGCTGGCTAAAAGGGAAATCTGTCTATCTAGTCCCTATTATCACAATGTCTGAATGTATCACAGACCTCAGTGTGAAGAAAGGCAAAACTTTCCATTTTTTCCTCTGAAGAAATTTTTTTATTTTTAACAGTTCCTTAACCAGGATGGAGACAAAAGCAGAAACTCCATACAGTCCTTAATGTCCACAATTTATTCCCCAAAGAAGTGTTTATATAGATGGAGTTAAGTGTTAAAGGTGGAAGTACTGCGCAGTGGAACTTTCTGCAAAATAATGGGTGGGAAACCCTACAGAAAGTAATAAACAGTACAATAATTGTGTGAAAGTATTCTCATGTGAAAACATACACATATGTATGCAGGGAAACATACATGTAAAATATATATAATGTTACTGTGGGAATATAGACGTTATATGTGGTATCAGTATGCATAGGAAATATTGCATCCAGAAGATTGTATTTAATGCAAAATTTTTATCTAAATCATAGTTTTGTAAATTGTTGGTGTAATTCTATAACACACAGATGTGTGGGGGCTTTAGGGGACAAAACTGTTATACCCAGGTAAGTAGTCTGGGTTTATAAATGACAAGCTATTCTTTTAGTTATAGTGCAGTGTAATTTTAGATTGAGGTCATTGATGTTTTTATTTGTTTTGCATGTTGCTGGCAACATATTGGTAAGAAGCTCAGTGTTTCTCAAAGCAGTCTTGGGAACATCTAATCAAAGCTAGAGTCCATTCTATAGGCCAAAATCTATCCTCCATTTGCAGATGCAAACACAGAATAACTCCACTAAAGTCACAAGAGAGTAGCATTGGGTACCATGCTTCTTATTTCCTATACGTTGTTTGGCCACGTTGCAGATATAAGATTTTATCCGGCAAGTCAAAAAGTAGTGATGCATTTCCTTGGTGGTGTTAATAATCTGATGTTAAGCTGAATAAATTCCTTTGCTTTTTGTAGTCTTAGGAGATTGTCTCCAGAATGTAATGTTATACGTGTGTGACCAAAATATTCACATGTGTACATAGTCCCATGAAATGTGTGTGGTGACCTACTAGCCTAGAAACCACCATAACAGATGGGAATTGTTTAAATATTGCTTCCTTCTTGAACTAATCTTTCTCTCAAACAGTCACAGCATAGAAAATATATTAAACAGAATGAAGCATACAACTTTGTGTTTTCATGACCTGTGAAAGAACACTGGACAAGAAGAAATCATGACAAATCAGGATATAAATATTTGGTTGTTGTAACTTGATGGCAAGTTTACAACTGGTATTTTGGAAACTGTTCCTTTGATTGCCTCCAGGTCTTCCTACTTCTGTTATATATGCCAAAAATTATTGAAATGTCTGGTTAGAAGAGATCTAAGGAGATGGTCTACCTTATCTATCTCCTACATACCGGGAGAATGCCTTTGCTATCAGGCTGTGCAGTAGAGGTGTAAGCACTTTCCATTCCTACTGTTGAAGCTGGACCACCAGGACAGCCAGGAATATAAGAGTCATAGGGACAGCAACAAAGAAAGCAATAAAGAGGCAATCTGCCTCTGTAGGTTATGGTACTGTCATGGGGGAGGGAAATTTGGGTTTAGGTCTCTATTCCTAGCACTGTTTGATATAGAACAATTAAAAGGCACTGACTGGAAAACAAAAAATAACCCTGGCAGCCAGAACCAGAATCCAGGCCTCCTTTCTCTCAGGTGATTGCCCCAACTACTGGCTACTAGGGGCGTGTGAAGCAGGCCCTATTCAATTTGGATTTGGCCTGAATCAGGGGCAGTGATTTGATTCATTGATTCGGATTACTGTCCCCAATTTGATTTGGCCGAATCTGAAGATTCGATGCTGATTCAGAGAATCAGTGATTCGGACATAGACACAGCTTTAAAAGTTTTTTCTACATACCTTAAGGTAGTAGGCACAGCTCGTGATTGCTGAAATGCTGGGGCACATGCAGCATCCCACAGGAGTGGGGGGGTGGGCCTCCACGTGCTTGGTGGCGAACCTAGAAGTGAACCAGAAGTACTTCCAGTTCACTTCTGGGTCTACCAGGGAGCACGCTGGGGGGGCCACCCGTGCCTCCGTGGCTTGGTGTTCAGCCACAGAGGGACCCCAGGTGCCCCCCCGGACCCAGGAGGCACCAGTCCTTGAGCCTGGGGGCAACAGGGGGGAGCCCGGCACGCTCTCCGGTGGACCCAGAAGTGCTTCTGGTCCACTTCTGGGTCTGCTGCTGTGTGCACTGGGGTGCCCTCTGTGCTTCTGTGGGACACTCCATGCATCCCACCATTGCAGCCTTTATGAGCTCCTGCTACCTAGAAGTATGTAGAAAAAGCATTTAAAGCTGTGTCTATGTCTGAATGTCCTAATCATTTTGCAGGGTTCCGATTCAATTCGGAGAGATTAAAGGGTCCTCTGATTCGATTCAGATTTGGAGATTCAGCTACCGAATCAGGTCAAATCTCCACTGAATTGAATCAGGGACCAAAGCTTCACACAGCCCTCCTGGCTACAGAGGTAGGCTAGTCTTGCTTTTGCACCTTTGGCTATCCAGTGGTCTTGCTATCACAGGTATGGAAGGTGCCCTCACCTAACCTATTCTATATCTCTAATGTTCTGGGCAAGTGCCCAAGCCACTAGGATGTTGGGCAAAAGGTAGGTAAAAACAACCAGTTTTCAGCACCCTGCTGAGTTATAGCTTTTATCCACCCTGAATTTTGGGAGCTTAGACAGAGGTTGACAGCCTACCATGGACAATCTGAATCACAGTAGAGCTTAAGCAGGAATTAGCCATGATGATGCCCTTCGGCTCTCTACCTGAACTGCTTCTGTGCATGCACTGGGGCCCCAGCATAGACACATAAGGAGCTCTGCAGTCCAAAATGAAGGCA